CCCGGCCCCGCCGGACGGCTCCCGCGTGCAGCGCGGGTCTCCTGCAGCTGTTATTTCTTCAGATGCGCAGGTTGCTGTGTCCGGCTGGACATTTGACAGTGTTCATTCTGGGTGTGTGCTCACAAAATCAGAACCTGGAATTGCAAAAGAAGAGGTTTGTTGATGAACTGTTAGAAACAAACCACTGGAGCAAAATAACTCTAGCTGTCCGACCATGCTGGCAGATCTGTTTGCAAAATTAATGGAAGATAAAAACTTAAGTGGATTTTATAGCATCCTCTTTGGGAAATTTAGTATCATCCAAAACTGGGCTCCAGTGCAAATCATTAGGAATTTCGGTAAAGGCTTTACTTTATTTTACTGTGCTGCTCTGATTGAAGCCTTATTTAAAAGATTTTACCTGGCAAATTGATCTCTCCCTGAGAATTGCTACAAATAAAACGTTATTCATGTTTTTTGGCCCTGTTAGGTTTAATACATGTCAGTAAAGTTGCTCAGGCATAAGTATATGAAGTACCACTGTTTAACTGTGGGTAGCGCTGGCTTTGAGGGGATGGACGTAATTATAATCAATGGCATCATACCTCAGGGAGCACTAAAGTATTCCATGCTTTATTATTGACATTCAGCAGTGAGACGGTCTGCAAACTAATATAATGGCTTGAGGAATGAAGGGAAAAGAAAAATGGCCAGAAAGGAGTTAGGGAAATAATAAAATAGGGACCAAAAAAACTCTCCTGAGAAATAAAAAATGAAATAAAATGGACTGGGTGGAGCCACAGCTTGTTAAAAGGTGTATTAGGTTTTAAGATACAAGCCTATAATTTATAATATAACGTTATTACTGACCTTAACTGAGAATCAAGTCAGAAACTTTTACAAACTTTTCAATTAATATTTCTAAATATTTCTAAACAGTACTAATAAGGCTAAAGCAAATCAAAATTAACTAAAACAAGTTGCAAACTTGTTAGTAGTAGTGAAGAGACATGGGGAAATTGAAATTGAAGGAGCACAACTGCCAATTTAAAATTTTTGAGTGCTTTGACTGTGTTCAACATACATAGATTTGCTTGGGTCCTTCTTTGTAAAAATAGATATTTCTCTTTTAAGACACTTCTTGTGCACAATGACTAAGTCAATTCTGTTGTGCTACAGAGGTTTTTATTTGTAGCTTGCTAATTTGAATCCAGGAGGGTTTTCCTCCCTGGATCGAAAGTTGCTCTTGTAGTCTTGGTGGCGATCCCTCTGTGAGGAAACGTGGTGGCCCTTCTTTTCATGGCCCACATCACCCACTCCTCAGGCACTAAAGGACGGAGCTAACAGAAAGAACAAGAACTGATGTGCACGGAGAAATGACCCGCTCCGTCACTGTTAACGAAAGCCCTGTGCTTCAAGCAGGTGGCAGGCAGGCAAGGGCGAATGCAGCTTCCTGTGCCAGACAGATACCATCACTCACATGGACTAGCATCATCTTGTACCCTTCAGTAGCACAATTGCTACCCAACTTCTTAAGTTATGTGTTTAATAAAGTAACACGAGATATGCAAATTATACCTTACTTCATTTTCATTAAATATCACATGTGGAGTTAGGCAGCTATGTTGATTTTCTGTCTACTGACAAGAAGCTCTGACTTGTACTGGGAACAAAGAAAAGATGCTCAGCAGGAGGACGTAGGTACCGATGTATAAGAACATGGCTTAATCAGTGATGTGCGGCATAAAGCTCCCAAGCTAGAAGTGGCAGATTTGCAAATCCGGATGTTTACCGAGGACCAGGAATCATATTACCCTATCTAATTACCAACTGCCTTGTTAACCAATGCTATTGAGATACAATTGGGCCATTGTCATTCAAATACAATGGGAATAGTGTCAAGGTATTAACAAACTGTAATAGATATCACATTGGCTCAAACTATGGTGTTTCTCAGGCAGAGCCTTTTTTTTTTTTTTAAAGAAATTTCACTTTTGTGGGTATGGAGAAGAGCAGAACACATGTGCACACTGTCCACTGTACAGTAACTAGGCATGAGCTAGATTTTGAAAGAGTGACCACAGGCCATTGTGTTTGTAGAACTCCCCTACCGTTTTACCCATGGTTAAAGAAAAAACAAACAACTTACTTAGAAACAGTCATCTGGAGGAAAAATCTGTAATTGAATGATCTTCATAAATCTCTGAAGAATCACTTCAGGACTGGTTACTCTCCTGCTCAGATAATAAGTGGGTTGCCTAGTTTGTTCCAGAAAAAAATACAGTGGGATCAAAATAAACATGTTTTTACCTCTTACAGAAGCAAGTTTAAAGCTCAGAGGTACTGAATTCATATCTCTAGAAACTAAATACAGTTTATCCACAAAGCAGTTTAAATCATGAACAGCAGCAACATTAACTACTCTGCATTACGTTGTCAATGAGTCTTAATCCTGTGTGAGGAAAATCATGCTCAGAAACTCAATCTCACTTGATATTTAACTTCAGCTTCACTTACAAAGAAAGCCTCGGGGGGGAAGGGGGGAGCAAACATGAGGTTTTCTGAAAACAAGTATAGAGACATCTACTAGAAGCTCTTATTTTTCCCTTCAAGAGAGTGATTTGCCAAGAATTTAGCTAGCCATGTATTAAACTACCTTTTCAAAGACTACTTGCCTTCTGATTTAATCCCTCTTGAATAAGAAATACAAGGTTTCACCCACAACTGGATAACTCATATGAAATGCAATTTTTTCACAGTTCTGAAAATGCAGTTTTTTCACTGCTATATTAGTTTATAAAGGATAAAGAGCAAAAAGCAATTCAGAGATTTATTTATGCTCATATAAACTTAAGATATTCTTCATCCTAAGCGTCTGCTGGGATTTTGTACACAGTCTGAAGATCTGTGAAAATGAAATTTAGAGCAAAAAAGCTCTTGCTGATCCACACTGGGTACTATCTACAACCATCTGAATTACTGTTATCCGAGAGGTTTGCACGTATTTACAGTGATTTGCTTAGGATGTCACCTTCAGCTTCCACAGCAAGCAGCTGAGGTGTCTGAAAGAGCAGGCTGAGTTCAGCCAGAGAGGACACAGCAGGGGCAGATGCACAGCCATAGCAGGAATTATCTGTAATGCTCCATACCCTACAGAATAAGAAAGGCCACAGATGCTTGCTGTGCCACAGGTCTGCCAATGTCGGTGGTATGCAGCAGATGAAGGACAGAAAATGGCACAGACAGACTGGTTCAGGTGCCAGTAGAGACCGACACCAGGCCAAGGGAATTCTCTGCGGATCACTTGAGGTTGTAGGAGAAAGGCGACGTCACTGAGGGTAAAATCTGGTCAGTAATATGTACCCGAAAGACTAGATATGCTTTCTTAGGCGTGCACCTGAGGATAACTGCCATCTGCATATGTTCATATCCAAGCATTCTGTAATTTTATTTGATCAAATTAAGTAAGATTGCTTCCAGAACTTAATCAGGTACACCTTCCTACAGAGAAATAGTTCCGTTTTTAACTTTCAGATCTCAGTTCTGGCCAGAGAATACCAAACAAAATAAGCTTCATGGTTTCCCCATGTTTGTAATATGTTTTGAAATAGTCAAAAAGATTATGATAAAACATTGAAATAAAAATTCACCTTTTGCACTCTAGCAATCATGGCAAATCTCAGTGCCAGAAGAATTTCTGACAGGTTCGGGTAGCTGGAAACAGAAGATTAGAAGGAAAACTGTTATGCCGTCTGAACCAAATTGGGGATTGCAGAAATAAATGAATATAAAACTGTCTGACGTGAAGGATCATTGGGCTGCATGGATGTTGAGTTTTGTATATTTTGTAGAACAATACAATTTATTAAGAGACTGTGGATAATGTCATCCACTCCTTTTTACTGGCTGCCTGCAGTACTTGGTTTGAATTCTAATCTGTCATTTATATATTACATGGGACCACTTTGAAATTGGGAAAAAATATTAGCTCAGTGCTCAAGATTTTTGAAAACACCATCCTTGACCCAAGTATTAAGCATTCTTGGTTATGCAACCATAATTGCCCATATGTAACATAACGGTCAAGCTTTTTTTTTTTTTTTTTTTTAAAGTAACATTGGGTTGCAGTCTTACCTTGAGGAAGTGTCTGCCTTATGGCTGCATCGCTGCTGTTTTAATGATGACGTTAAAGTTAACACGTTACTTGGATAGGGTATTAACATAATGTCTTTCAAGTACAAAAAAATCCTAAGTGAGCGACGCTGCCAAAGTCAGCAGCTTGAACTGTTTTTCCTGTGGTACGCTTCTGTCGAAACAAGTGCATTGTTTCGAATAAATAACTCAAATAGGAAATTAGTCACAATTCAAACATGTAATTATATTTCAACAGGGCAAAATCCCAACCGAAGCTGCCAGAAAACATTCAGTTAAAGCCAGTGCCGCCGGTTGGAATACTTTGTGTGTTCGTTGTAATTATAACTGTGGCTACCTCGGTCCTCCTGCCACTTCAAACTTAAAAGAAATAAAACAAATGCTATCCAAATGCCAACTGAAGCGCCTAATAATTAGGGGTCATTAGGGACTGTTGGTTGACTTTATTTTCTACTCAGCCCTCTTGTATTTAGGGATTCTATTTATATGCAGAATTAACGACTCTGTTTGAACAAGTAATCCAATGTTCTCTGTGTAATTTAGCCAATGAGTTTTCTTATGTCCCTTAGTTTTGGCTGTGTTTCAAGATGTATGGTGAAACTGCAGTACTAAAAATATCTCATTCAGTATCTTTTATCTGAAAGGATAAACCAGGCCCGCTGACAAACGATAGGTAAAATTCTAAAGTTTTTTCACTTACTGGGGAAGGCCGTCTCCTTCTACCAAAGGCACTGAGTGGGACTTCTCTGTGTGCGTCCTCCCCTCTAGTGGCTGCTCTTCTCAAAGAAAAGTGGCAACGCTTCAGGCCTTCATCTATATTAAGTACAAAGTATAGGACTGAGGGAATCTAGGTAGGAAGGAGACAAGTAGGCACCACCTTTTATATAGCAAGAAATTCAAACGCAGCAGTGATGTGAGCCATATTAAGACAGAGATGCACAACAAGAGTGGTGGATTTGACAATTTTTTGTGAAAAATGCAATGTGTTACTTGATGATGTTACTAAGATGATAGTAACTGTGATTGTTCACATACAAGACTGGCTCCTCAGCCATTTGTCAGTCTCTCAGACCAATCCTTTCTGTTGGTCTGTCTTGTTTTCCTATATAGCCAATACAAGGCAGGACTCAAGGATTTGGAAAAAACAATTTCGGTAATGGGTCTATAAACCAGGTGTCCCTTGTGTCCTTTTTCCTAGCTGTCTGTCCTTTCCTCCTTGGCAGTGGTAAACTCACAGCCAAGTCTCCATGTTCACTGCTAACCGTTCTGCCGTTCCTGCTATGGGATTATTGCCTATCACACAGTCCAACACCCCTTCCCAAATTGCCACCAAAGTAATAAGTCAAAACCACTACCGTTAGGAGGATGAGGTGGCACAGACAGCACTACAGAAACACAGCTAGCCAAAGCTAGAAAACAAGGTGGGAGAAGTACAACCAGTGCATGGAATATTTCACCGATGAGGAAGAATACCATTCGATAAGGACGGACTTCTTGTCTGCACGCAACGGGGAGTGGCCGCACACAATGTATCCCAGGCAATGCAGCGCGTCTCTGGCCAGCTTTGCCAGGTCTTGAACCGGTGACCCTGACGAGTCTGAGCACCACAAGTAAGTAAGTGGGGAAAAATCTGACGGGGAGAGAAAATGTGGTGGAAATCCATTCGTATCTCAGGTAGATGCCAACCCGGTGAGGGCTTTCCATCTGCCGCCCTTGGCTGAAGACATGTCCATTCCTCCCTACTTACTGCTACCCCTTTGTTTTCTTCCATTTATTTCTTCCATCTAGTCTACATTTATACCAGAGTAAGTCTCTCCAGCCAGATTAGTTTATTCTAGTTCTGAACAGGATGGCCAAGGTCCTTGTAAATTGCAGTAACCAGATGATTTCCCTGACCTCTGCCATTTAGCACGCTGACAGTGTATGCTGACAGGGAAGGTCATTAGGACTACTTCCCCTTTTTCACTGACCTTATTGGACATAGATGGTGGCTAGCGCAGAAATTATTACAAGGCAATCCTTGGGTGCCGGAATTAACATTTCCGTCAAAAAACAAAACCTGACATGACACTGATGACTATCAGATTTAGGAGGTTAAATTTTAAGTTATCAGCAATTAAAATCCCAATATTAAATATTTCATTAAGGGCAGCTCCTCCTCCTCCTGAGTAACAAACTGGTTATTCAACCAGTTAAAACTGTCTACAGCATTTGCAGCAGACTTTAGATCAACATGTGGTTAAAGAATAACTCTTTAAAATATCAGATTACTGACAAGTTCTTTGAACTTCTATTTGGACATTCTCACTGTATTTATTCCTCTCTAGGTTTGGATGGGAAAATTATTAGTAGTTATATGTATTTTCAGCAAAAAAAGTAAAATAGTAAATTCTATCAAATACTGACTACAGCTACTTTTTATCATAAAATTTTACAAATTCCCCACTAGTGAGCTCATTAGTATAAATGATAGAGCCCTCTCTCAGGTTTAAAGTCAGCATTTTTCCTTAGCTACCAAACAGCCTCTTTTCTTTTGTGACATGATAACGGAGGAATTTACTCCAGAGAGCAGGAGAAAATATTCTGCTGTTCTCACAGGGCAATAGAGCAGGGCTGGTAAAAACCAGCCTGACTGAGCGGGATTTCAGTGCTGTCGGCTGACCTTGTGGAAGCCTTTTCTAAAGGAGCAGATTTTGCAGGGAACACACATGCATATCACAACACAGGCCAGTTGTGAGGGGCAAGTATCAAGGGAAGACAAAAGAGGAAGGCTCTTTCTAAGGAAAAGAATTGGCACTTTCCTCCTTTTCTGCTCTACCCTCCAAAACCCTTGTGACATGGAAGTGTTACGTATTAAAACCAGTTTGGTATCCCAAGACAGCATTTGTATTGCTGGGCACACATTAATACCTCATCAGAGCTGTGAGCAGGCAAACTGTGGAGTTACAGGGCTCCACCTCAGGAGGTAGAGCTTTCCGTCTCCTTGCTTTCCCAAAGCACCCGTAGATCTAATGTTAACAGGAACAGGGTTACGCCCTGAAAGATACTGGCAACTAAAGATAAAGATAATACTTAAAAAATAGTGACTTCAGTAGCAGAGAGAGAGGGAAGGTGGGACAAAACCCTGGATACCGGTCAAACTCTCAGGACTTAGACATGGCTGGAAACTCCTAGTCCAGGAAGCATAGCGTAAATATGTAAGACAGCACACAAACACTATGCCAGCCTGTTACATACTGCGTATTGTACTCTGCTTTTTATGTACAGTAATCTCTAGCAGTCATCACAGTACATCAAGTTAACTCTAATGAGTAAGGTCAAGGGCTAAAGTTAAGATTATTCCGACACTTCCTTGTGGTTGGGTTTAAGGGCTTCACCTTAGCTGTTTGGAAAGGGAGGCAGGTAATTACGTAAAGTGTCCGTCTATTGCTTTCTGAATTTGTAGTATTGCCGTTTTCTGCCTTCTGAATATTTTAAAGGGCTGTTTGTGGCTCTGAGCAAGTGCCCCATCCTTCGGTACAACATCCCCACTAGCCTCTGGCAGGGCTGGGAAGCTCAGTGACGTCCCTTCTCGTGGCTCTGCTGGAGGGCCTGCGCGAGCGCTGGTGTGCAGGGCCTCTGGCAGGGGCCGGCAGCCTGGTGTGACTCTGTGCCGACCTCTCCGGCAGGCAAGCTGCAAGGCAGTTTGCTTGAGTGACATGAGATGGAAAATATGATAGCTACAGGCTGAAGAATCTTTTCTGGTGAAATGCTGAGAGTCAAACACTACAACAAAGAAAATATCAAACAAGGACATGTGGATGCTTAGATTTTGTACCTTTGATTTTAAAAAATAAATGCTGGAGAGGCATAGTTTGTGTGGTAAACCTTTAACCTTAAAACCCAAAGATTATTTTTGAAAGCAATTTTCTATCCCTAGAGTCAATTGCAACCTATTTAGAAAAAACACTAAAAGGAAGTAAAACACCTGGGGGAGGGGGGGGAAGCTGTATGTGTCATAGGAACCAAAATGTTTTCAATTCAATGCTCAGAACAATATTGTTTAAATAATGTTAAACTATGAAGCAATATGCCATTATTAATATAGCATGGGTCAAGCAACACATTCTCTCGTCTTACGTATGAAATTCAAATTTCACAGTTTATCTGTTTTCCATGTGCAGGCAGATCACCCACAGTAGTGGCTGCCCCAGCAGTGTAGTGTGGGGTTCTGATTCCTTGTAGAGGTTTCATCCAAACCCTATCAAGCTCTAAGTGCATATTTTTTTTTACCTTTTCTCAACTTTGAATTTACTTCACAATCTCTGGATTTTGACATTTTATGTCATTTCTGGAACTGCTACAGTTACATTACAAGATAAAGGGAGACAAAGAATAAAAACCAGAAGAACTGCTTCACGTGAAGAGTGAGCTTTCAGACTGTGCTTTTTGCAGGTTCACAGAGCACAGGGGAGCGCCTACGTGGAGCAGTAAGCGCTGGGTCTGCTACAGTTCTCGGGGGTGCGAAGAAGGGAATTTTGCGCACTCAGACTCACAAGGAACTCTCCCAGTGCCACCGGTGCACAGGGTGGCTGGGACATGTAGGCAGTTCTGCTCTTTCCCAAGGGCCAAGTTGACTTGTTTTCAAAACTGCTGACGTGTACGTGAGCTTCAGAGGAGACACAAATTGCACTTACTGTAGTTCTGGCAACTACCTGGGCCAGATTTACACTGGAGGTATATTAAATACAAGAGAGGTGGAAGGAACTGTGGGTGAATATGGGTATCCAGCTCTTCAAGTGCACTGCCTCTACATGTACGTTTCGTCCCCTGAAGAAAAAAATTCCAAGTGGGGCCTTTCACATATCATATTGGCTTATTTATCCCTTTCTCTAACTATATCCACAACCAAATTGTCCTTCAGTGCCCCTAGTAGCTTGCGACAGAGTGCTGTTTCAATAATTACTGAAGGTTTCTATAGTACGTTTGTGATAATGTTCACCAAAGGGACCCAAACCAGGAAAGATGGGCATCATCATTTTCTTTTGAAACCGAGACCGAGTCTGAGTCACTGAGCCGGCCACTGACTTGCTCAGCAAATCAGCAGTAGCACCAAACATATTGTATTTATTGAATATTATGGAGGGAAACAGTGAGATACAGGATGGCAACGCCAGTGATACAAAAGGAGCTGGACGGCACAGGAAAACGAACTGAGCCAGGTATTGGCCAGCCACCAGGATGGGCATATTTATAACAAAGGTCATCTGAGGGTCACAATCAGGATATAAAGGGAATACTGCTTTGTTTGCATTTAGAATGATCCACACTTCACCAAGAGCATTCAGCACATCTTTAGGGGGTAAAAATGCTTATGTATTTGCCAAGATTGTAATCAAAAAGAAGCTTTTATTTTAGTACTTTTTGACTTTTTTTAAGCTTTTCAAGTAAGCAAGGATATTATTCATTTGGATTGTGTAAAATCTTCACCTACAGAGAAGCCCAGCTGTGTTCAATGACTCTGCATTACACCATCTTCTGTCTTACAGGGTCAGTGCAATTCTTAAAGGCTGGAGTGTAAAAATGATGTTGCAGTATGTTTGTATTTTTGTAGTACGTTTGCTTTGTCTTTATCCACAGAAACTTATCCCATTGCCTAAACCCCTTTCCATACTAGGCTTTATTTACAAATTGACAGCCAAACATTGTAGTCTTTTTGACAGTGTGCAATTAATCGCACACGATCCGTTTAGGCTTCAAGATGTACCTTTCATAAATGATATATTCCAAAAAGCAGTCCAATTGGCTGCTTTGCATATTGCATATATTTTTCATATTTCCAAGGCAGAACATATGCCAAACCATTTTATGGAAGTACAGACATGGGAAAGATGATTTGGAAGAAAGGACAGCACCCAGAGGTTCTGTTTCTTCCACCCACCTGCTCCAAACTGGGTAAGTCACCTACTATTTCTCTGCCTTTTTTCTTCATCAGCACCATATTCTTTATCTAAGAGTTTGAGTTCAATGAATGTCTTATTTATTATTATTAATATATTCCAATAAGTGGTGGCAGTGCTTTAGCATTGCTTTGAAGTCAGTCAAATAATTATTAAAAAAAAGTGTGAATTGTGAGGAAGTGCAGTTCAGTCCACCTGATTTGCCTGTGTTGAAATGTTACTGGTGGGGAGACCTCCTCAGAAGAAGAAACCGATGAAGACATATGTGCTAAATGGATGCCGGAGTCTTGAGAAGCTTTTTCTCTTTTAACTCATCCATTGTGTAAACACCTGCATGAGTCACGTAGCCCAAATCACTACGAGCAACTTTTACTACATAAAGCATTTAAACGTGCCAGTAAATACCTTATAATGGCATCATACATATCACCATTCTTACAACTAGCTCCTACCTACTTTCATTATTCTTTCCTTCCTCCCACCCTACTTTACTGTTTTGAATTATGGGCAGCTCTTGGAAAAGTGACACACACTTTAATTATGCACATAATACTATAATTGAATCAAGCTACTTTGTTTTCAAAAAAAGCTGTTCTTTATTTGCTGGCAGGCTGCTTGTTTGTGATCCTAGCATTGTCAGTCACATCAGGAAAGCCTTCTTAGTCAAAAAAGCTATTGTAGAGGAAGTATTAGTGGTTCTGTACAGGGCTTTTTAGCAGTAATTATGTGCAGCTTTTAGTAATTTTGAGAGTCACCCAAGCATCACTGAAATAAACCATTTGCAATGACATGCAGTCATGCCCGTACAGTATTTTTACAAGCAAACGAAAATAAGACATTTTGGTGGTAACATGTAAAGTAGCCTTGAGGCTTGCAATGCAATGCTCATCAAGACTGTAACATTTAATTACAAGACTATCAAGCATAAGTGAAGTCGTTGGAGCTTTTCATCCCTACAATGTAAAGACTGATTCCTTTCATCAGACGTGGAGCCAATGCTCTGTCCCTTAGTCAGGCCAAGCTGGCATGTCAGGGACTGATCTCTTTTGGGCCCCATTTGGTAAAATACTCTGTGGAGTTACTGGTGCCTACGATGTCTTGGTGATTCCTTGATTCCTCCCATCTGTGAGGAACGCAGAACTGCCCAGAGAATTGCAGGCTCTAGGTGGCAAGTACCACCAGCCCATAAATAGATGCCTATAAAGAGATATACACTAAGGTTTCACTTTTTTGTGGTCTCTCTCCAAAACTGACCATATATGACATGTAGTCAACAACTTCCCTCCACTTATTTTTGCTTGACTCGCTTTCCCCTGCCACTAACAAACAGATTGTATGCTCTCGAGCAGCTCAGAGCCCAGTGAACCAGGCATGCGCCCCTGACCTGGAGTACCCTGCCCCCATTTGAACAGGACCACAGCAAAGGTGGAGGAAAGGGACAACAAGGAAAACAGCCTGCAAGTCCCCAGAAGCAGCCAGGTGTCCCTTGAGAACATTGTGCAGAGGTGTTGCCATCTGGTTACCTAAATACTGTATATATTGTGAGGTTTTTATTTGGGGCTTATAGATACTCTGTTAAGATGTTTTGTTTTCTGGCTATATACATTATTCTCCAAGTGAAATCCTTAACGAATGCATTTGTGGTTGTTTTTTGGAAAAAAACTCTACCAGTGTACAGTGACAAAGCCAAAAAAGAAGGGATGTAGAAATTATGACGTCTCATACAGGCAAATGCTGTGGCAAACTTTTACAACGTACTGAGCGTTGCCTAGTCTGATACTTAGAACAAATGCTATAATTTTCATGTGTATTTCCTTCAAGTCATAGAGCTTGGAGTTATATAAATATATGCAATATCTGGCATTCGTTAAAAAAAAGTGTAGTAAGTTTCTGTTCCCATTTTTAGGCAGTATCTTTAATGAGCTCTAGAAAGACAAAGGGAGAAATAAACAAATACTGTTTTGGAAGAGTCGTCTTCTGGTCTTGTTCATAATTTTAGGAGCCTCTGCATTTTTTAATTTTGAATACTTGAAGCTGACAAAATTAGCATGTTAGGAGGAAGGAAAGTTTACAAGAATCAAACAGAAAATCAATCAGCCATTTCAAAACTTGAAGTTGATGCTGTTATTCAGGTATGCTTGAGAGAAAAAAAACATATTCTGTAGCTCTGCTGGAGATAGGAGTTTCAGGTCTAGTGTAGTGAATATATTTGCTAACTTACTTGTTCAAGACAACATTGTGTGTGTTGTCCTGGTTGTCTAGACGCTGGAAAATCAAAAGACTGTGGAACTGTGCTGGAGGTGGCAAGGGATATGACTAGGCCTGGGACAGCTACTGCTAATGTTCTGGCTTCCTGACAGTGAAATGTTACCTTTTTATACAGACGGTAGTCCCAACAGCATGCTTAGTCTTTGCTATTGCACGATTACTGTTCTCACATCTAATCAATAATTCCCCAGAGCGTCTCACTGCAATGGCCATTTTGCTCAGTCTCTCCAGCAGGGAGGTCTATTTCGCAACAGGTTTTCAGCAGACCAAAATGTGCCATCAATAGCGTAAGAATACTCTCCCTACTTGTCCTTATGAAATATTTGCATTTTTCCACACAAGTTCTAACAGAGCAAATGACTTTTCCAATATGTAATGGTTTAAAAGTGTCTTGTATGGAAATGCATCAACTACACAATTGCCAGCACAGGTGGCAGACTCTCTCAAGGTCACTACTGGATTGACTGAAGAGTTTCAAAAAGCTTTAAAGTCAAGTTGTGCAGATACAGAACGCCCAACTGAATGGTTACAAACTGTCTGTGAGTGACTACAGCACGAGGTGAGGGTAGTCCAGGGGGAACGGGTTGGCTTTCCTCTTATAAGCTACCTCCGCAGGCATTACTCCATCCTGTTACACAAGATATAAGTTGAAAACCTCTCTGCTTTCGCTGCGGTATACCTTATCTAGGGAAGGGGGTTATGGCTGATGGCAGCCTGCTTTCCTAGTTGTTTTTACCTCCTAGAGTGATTGCAATCTGGTGTAATAAATGACAGCAGCCCACTCTTCAGCCTGCCCTACTAGCAGAGAGCATCAGCAGGAGACGGGGGTGAACCTCTACACACACATGCACTCCATCCCCCTGTGCATCTCACTAATTCTAATTGTAGTGCCGGACAATTTTGTTCTATGAAAAGTAAATATAATAAAAATATTACTATTATTAATTATAATAATAATAATGGTGAAGTAGAAGGACTTAAAACCTATTAGTTTCTTTTCTTGACTCCTTTAATATAGTTGCAAGAACAGAGTAATCATCCCAGATGTCTTTTCTGATCTGGGATATATCTTTTCTTATCCAGGTTTTCAAAGGAGAAGCCCTCAGCAAAGGAACCGAGGTTACGTTTTCAATTTTTAGCATAGTATCCTAAGGAAACGAGGATAATGCCATTGCTATCTGTCAGTCCTTATTTTTCTCTCACATTGCCTCACACGAACTTTTGAGGCTGTCACTCAATTTCAGCCAAAATAATAAAAGCATTGTAAGTCTCAAGAATAAATAAATACCTATAGACTTCATGAACATTTTTGGTCTGGGAGAAGAAAGAAACACAAATCAGCGCTCTCACTGAGGAAAAGTGAGGCTAATGCAAATGCATCCATCAGCATCGGTGTGGCAGCAGCCAACAGCACACCAAACCTGGCCACTCGCTGGCACACGGCTTAGTCGGGACAAGCCAGAGCACAAACAGCTTCCGGCCTGTGAGGCACAAACAGCTTCCGGCCTGTGAGGAGGCAATAGTGGGACCAAGCTACGTATGTAGGTGGGAGGATCTGAGCAGCAAAGGACACATGTCTCTAGCAAGCTAGTCTCTAGTTCTGCTGTTGACAGCTATGTGATTTTGTCCCCATATTTTATTTTCAGTGCCAAAACATTCAGTATGTTCTGCAGATGACACGTGACAACACAATTCCTGTTCTAGAGAGATTACAACTACAGGATATAAATTATAGTCATTCCTAAAATCAACTCTTTGTCTGAATCCTGACTTACAGACTGGAATATAATCTCACAGTATCAAAAACACCGTAGCTGTTCTCAGATAAGGCCTGATCTTTTTTTCAAATGTAGCTAGTAGCAAAGTTCCCACTGAATTAACTGATGAAGGATCAAACTTGTGCTGCTTTGTATTTGGTTAGTAGTACTTGATAGGATAATTTAAACACTTTTTTTTAATACACTTCCTAACGGCAGCACTTGGCGTTAGGCAAAGGTAGTGAGAGAAATCCCCACAAAAATGATAAAAAAAGAACAATTGATGATGGCAAAGAAAAACATCATCACCACAAAAAAAAAATCAGCAGCTTATAAAAGCTAGTCTGAGGCTTCTACTGCTCTCATCTCAGGGTTTTATTACCAAATATCAAAAAATCATTACTGCAATATCAAAACATTCATAATAACAATATAAACATTCCACTCAATCTGTTCCTGCGGGGATCTGATCTAAAAATCTACAAGAAAAAAAATAATTGCTGTGAAAATGGCAGTTAGCCAGTTCAATCATTCAGCCAACCTGGTTCTGTAATTGGAGAACAGTCACCGTATTTCAGTACTACCACTAGATAACTTCCAAGAGAATTGCTCAAGCAAACTAAAACACGAAGCCTTTTAGAAAAGCTCTTAAGTGGTGTTATCTGGTGTGCTGTTTGTGGCTTAATATCTTTTATATGTACCATAATTGATTCCCTGTTATTTAAAATTGATAACTTACTAGTCAAAACAGTGTCCTGCCTCCTCCTGCAAAAGACCAATCAGTCCTTATTAACTTTAAATCTCACCACATTTTACTTACTGCAAAAGCAAGAGAGACTCCAAATAACATGGGTAACCTTTTTCATTGCTATCTATAAGGAATGAAGCTTTAAGGAAATGAACTTTATACATAGAATAGTGTGTGTGTGGGGGGTGTTTGTTTGAGATTGTAATTCTGCCTTTTTCATGAATACTTAGGTGTGGTACTTTGGAGTACTAACAGAAATCCATTTTAAACCTAGAGATAACTGCAGCTTGTAGCTCATAATGATAGTATGTGGGGGATCATTCTCCTTTCACTAACAGAACCAGGAAACAAATTAAATTCTTCTGGTCCAGTTCACCCAGGGTGATCTGTGTCATTCTTGTTTGACAGCTGAAACTCTGAGTACAATCAGATGTTTATAACTCCACCTAGCTCTGTGTAATACACTGTTGTACTTAACGGATATTTATAAAAAAAAATTCCTGCACTTGGTGGCAAATCATAAACATACACCAGTAATAAGCCTGTTTAGGTTTCCTTAGACTTAAAATAAGTAAACCCCATTGTACTTTCATTATAACTTATGAAATTTATACCTTTTTAATTGGCTTTCCTCTTGAGACTGTGGGTAGCAGATGGCCCTTCTGAATCCTCAGAAGATGCACAGAGTTGGCTGAACAAAGCAAGAAAGGAGGTTTAAAAATTGGGTGGTATATACAACAATCACAGGATTAAACTGGAATGCTTTCAGTTTGACAAGCTTACAGGACCTCACCCTCTGTGATTGTGCATGTGGGTAAAGACCTGTGGCCCCCTGTACCCAGGCCTCCCAAAATGAGGTCTTTGTAGGTGAGGAACATCAAATCAAAATAGCATATGTGCAGAGTGCAGATCTGGATTATGTATATTATATTCTGCGTACATGTTCTTGGCTTTTCTTCTGCTACAGGCAGACTGAAGTCACCCTCTAGCCTTGGAGCTGATAGTCTACTTCCGGATAATAACTAGCAAAAGACTTAACACTACACTTGGCTCTGCAGTTGACTCAAAATAGCCCACAGGCACGGAGCAGGATCAGCCTGCTGCTAGGCTGTTTGTTTATTTCGGTTGACATTTTCCTTTGTCAAGAATCTATTCCTTGTTATTTAGTATGTACAGCCCTGCACATATCCTATCTATTTAACTGTCTTTAGATGAAAGTGGGTATTTTCCCAAGTCAATGAATGTTCTGGTGTGAAGCTGTGAGCTGGCCTCTGAGAGAACCATTCCCTGCTGTGTATCTCACTTCTGCATTGGGTTTTCTTTGTTAATCATGTGCAAAATAAGAAGGCTTTCTGTTTAGCAAAAACCCATCATTAATTTTTCATATGAGCACTAAAGTCTTGAACAGAATCCTTAAGTGGCTTCAAAGAGAAAGGAATAATAAAACCAAAGAACTGCATTTTACTTTTCCTCTTCTTAGTTATTTGATATTTTAAGAAAACTTTTTAATGCAAAACTACAGTTCTCTAAGCTTTATGATGGCACATTCATCCTGAAGACTACATTCGACCTTCAACTTTGTCCTTCGTTAGGAGGATTACACCTAAACACTCCTTCGTTTTACTGCAAATGAGACAGATGCAATGCGTATTCTGTTCGGCCCCAGCATTAGGATTATCCCAAGAGTGGCATTTATGTTCTTGTAGTTCCTTGGTATAAATAAATATCAAAGTAGGAAGACCAATCTGTACTCCACAAGGAATAATAAACTAAAATAATATGGCACTGATTCTGTTTGGGTTGTCTAAATGTGTTTTTATGATTGTATATGTTTATGGCTTTTTCACACAGCCACCATGAATTCCAGGCAATTAAAATGGACATGAGTTCTGAAGCATTTTAAAAGGGGCTTTGCTTTCCAAATGGTACGTATTAAAAATAGAATCCATTTTTTTTATGACAGGGCTAGTGCAAAGTCAACAGACACACATTTCCCCTGCTCCAAATTACTCCTCCTTCTTCCTCCCTATATAACTAATCAAAATATTTTTCTAAGTTAAGAAGAAAAGGAGGGAAAGATTACTTTTATTTTTACACATATATTAGATGTATTGCTAGCTTAAGAGTCAGTCTGTGGGCCCCAGGTTTGAAAGCAGCTCCAGAGGTAGTGCATAGCAGTTCTTTTATCAGGCGTATCAACATACCTGCCTGTATGCTGCGCTGCCTCGTTGTTCACATTGAGTGGGTGCAGTGTCACTGTGTACAGGGATTGAGAACGGGATCTGTCTTTGCATCCACAGCGTCCAGTGTTCTCCACCACCCCACTGAGGGACACAGCATTTCAGTGATGGCTGCAGGGAAGTACCTGATTTAATTAGATAAATAAGTAATTATGCCATAACATACCTTGAACTGTCAAGTTTATGCAATGTTATGAGTTCCTGCACAAAGTAGTAAATCATAAGCAGTGAAGAAGCAATACTTTTGATTAAATTGTTAAACATTGTTGGCTTTTTTGTTATTTACGTTAATTCAAAGATAGTAAATTGTTTAGAGAAAATATCTTCTTTAAATAAGAGACTTTAATTTTCCAATTATGAATTGAAAAATGTCCACTTTCAAATATTTACCTTCAATAAATACTTAGGAAGAATACATAAAAACTGGATTTGGTATTCTTAAAGATAAAAATGAATTGTTCCTCTACCAGGTCAAACGGACTCTAACCACAAGGCTTTCTGGATGAGAAAAAGCTAATTAAGGGAAAAGACAGAATGGTAAAGCTCAGTATCTTGCTTTCTCCAGTGATTTTTTAGAGTAGGAGATTACAGTTCCTTGATTATAGCAATCCATACTCTGCTCCATAAATCCTCCCACAGCAGTCAGTGGAAAAACTCATGAACTTAGGCGTTTACAGCATAAAATTTCAAAAGTTGTCCAGAATCACAAAAGGAGAATTTATATTAAAGAGTAAGAGCTACAGCAGTCAAATATCTGTTCACAATGCACCTAGACCAAGCACCTGAAAGCTCTGTGAGGTCTGGGACACAGCATAGTAATCTGAGCTTCAACCTTTGCTCTGTATGTATGTTCCATCAAGTAAATAGCACACGCTTCATATAGAGACCAGCTTTGCTATGGCTGAATAATTGGAATAGCTTCAAAAAGCTTCCCAAGGCTCAAAGACTACATGCCTGAGTGAACACAAATTGTGGAACGGCTCCTGCCATTCACATCCAACCAAACTACTTTCTGAACACTTTTGCAGGGCTCAGCTACAACTAGAGTATCTCTTGCAGTGGGAACGCCCAGCAATGCTATTACTCCGGTGTGTTCGGGGTATCTTACAGGCAGCAACCATCCTAACAACAGCTGTATAACCTGTGGTCTGCCTTTCTTTCCTAATGTGGGATCAGGCTGACAGACTGCCCCCAGAAGCTATTTTAAGGATGTTGAGAAGAGATGCAGGAAGGCAGGATCTAACTGGAAACCTGGGTGGGCCAGGCAGGCTTCCTAGCAATGCCTGAACACCCTGTAGGAGAGGACCACGCTGCTGAGTCTTCCTCTGGTCACCTTCCCCAGCAGGTAAGAAGGGGTGGGAGGTTGAGAAGTGACCAGTTGGACCCCTCTCCCTTTGTCTCCAAGAGATGCTCTCAAGGATTGCCTGCATTTCACAGACAGCAGCACAGAGGGGACACGGTGGGCCTTTGTGTTTTTACGTTTTCCAGCTCTAGCTGTTCATCCTTTCCATAATCTCTTGCATGACCTTTCTTTTTGCTCTTGCTTTATCACAACATTATAAATCAGCAGTTTAAAACTCAATGGCATTACTGTTTAGATAGATTTTAAAGAGCTGTGTTCCTTGAAGAAATGAAATCCTGTACAGGGTGGTGACATGACAGCCCACAGTGAAAGCCAGGTACTAGAAGACAAGTTTTCAAGCGGAAAAAAGCAGCAGTAATCAAGATCAACTTCCTGTGGCAGTAAGCAGGGTCACACTGACCTCTTGGACACTGTGCAACTCAAACTAAACATAATGCTCTGGCAGCTTAATTGACTTGATGGCAAGGAATGCGCTTCTGTCTCATTTCTGTTTAGCCTAGTACAACTTGAATGAATGATAAAAGAAGATCTGCTCAATTGACATTGGAAAATTTATATAGAAATTCTAGCTCAGAGGAAACCAGTTCTTTCAGAGTATTCAAATAGCAGTATTTTATGGGAAAAATCACTAGGGATTTTCTCTGTTTTGGTCATAAGACATTGCCTCTTCTGTACTGTTCACTGTAGCTTTGGTCCATCCACCTGTTACATAAATCTTCTACTGGCTTTGTAGTCATAAAGAGAACTATTATCCCATTGTGCTTAAGTGTAAAATGCCAGCTGTGTTAATAGAAATGTACCATCGTGTCATTATTAAACATTTATATTGTTCTGGCACCAAGAGACCAATCATGTCAGGTTTCCTCTATTAAATTTTTAATGAATGATAGTCCCTGACAAGCTGACGTGTCTGTGAAAGAGTAGGAATTTACATAAACTTCTGTGTTTCCAGAGGAAGGGTGTAAATCTTCCCTAGGACCCCTACTGAGCAATGAGATCCCTGTTGAAGATGAAAAATGTGCTCCTGAGATAACCTCTTCCAGTAGCAGGGCCAAAGAGGAAAAAAATGATTCCAAAAGTGCTTCCAAAGGCAGGAAGTAGTAACCAGATCCCCCTGGGGAAGTCAGGAGGCAGGAAAAGAAGATAAGCAGGATGCAGAAAGTCCAACTCATTACCTGAAAATTATAGCCCAATTTTTACTTTTTCATCCAAAGCAATTTCTGAACCTAGACAAATTCTCTCATTAATTAACATGCTCTACGTGGCTATTTTGTACCAGTCTCTAGTACCAGACCTCCCAGCTACCCTGGGAGAGAGACCTGCCTTTGCCAGAGCAGCGTTCTCCTTCCTGCCCTACGGAAAGGCTGTTGCTCGTCTGTTACGACAGGAAATGTTTTGAAATCCGAACAATGAGGGAGATCTGAGAGCAGACAGCATAGATAATGAAAAGAAAAAAGAACCATTACTTGGAAATGATTGTTGCTTTGTCATTTTTCCTTAATTTCCTCAGTAACTGGTACAAACTGTTCCTTAGAAAATGTTTAGGAAATAACATCCACAGCACCATTTCCCTGCTTCAGTCTTAGCTATTGTTTCCATGCTTTTGCTTTTGATGACAGGTAGGCTTCAATTGTAGTCCTTTGTATACATGCTCAGGGTATAAATTATGCAGATTAAAGTCTCTAATTTCAGAGTAAATTTCAAAGATTCTCCTCACCTTGAGATTGTAACAACTGCATAATATTTCTATTTAGTTCTTGAAAGGCTTTATGATCAAAAATCTCCTTTTAAATAATGCCCATAAAATCCTTATTTTCACTTATGAAAGCAGAAATCTGAAGAATTAAATAACAAGGTTTCATCTTCAGTTATTTTTTTTAACTCAAGTGATGGTACTGATGTTCATACTGTAATATCTAATTTGAAAGGAAAGCTGTTTTTTGTAATTTTCAAGTGAGCATGGTCCATGACAAGAACAAACTGACCAGGAGGCAGACTTTCAACTAGTGCAAAATATTTTTGAAGTCAGTTCAGCTAAAGCAATTTACATCAACAAAGAACTAAATTATTATCAAGGCCCTGATTCTGGAAAAAAAATCATCTGTTGATCCACACTGAAACAGAGAGCTGCATGTAGGGGACAAGGATTCAGCTATTTGGATTTTTAGATTCAAGGCTCAAAGTTAGGAAATAATTCCCTGCACTGTAATTTTCATTTGTGAGACTTTCCTCACTGTTTATTACTGAATTCACTGGCCTGTTGCTCTGCAATACAATGAAGAACACTTTTCTCATTCCACAAAAAGATTGTAGATTTCAGATAAAATTCTTGTCAAATGTTGGAATAGCATAGATCCCCCAAAACCCAAAACTCTCCCTACCTATGTCAGAAGAGCAAATCAATCCCCAGTATATGGACTATCAACATTCAATGGATACTTAATTTATGTAAAATGAAACAGCTTGATCAGGAGAAGTTGAACAAGACTGGAATAGTCAATTGCCTGATGGCTACACAGCTCAGTAAGGATGCAAAAGATACATATTTGTGTCTCTGGTTGAATTAGGCAGAGACAACATGTTTCTTGCATTTCTTGCATGAATTCCCCGAGTACTGAGCTGATGGCTTCACCAGGTCAGGCAAAGGCGTCTCTCAGTTTCGTTCTTTTAAAAATTGGTATTTTGGCTCCTACAAAATCGTTCTGATTTTAAAATTCAATGCATTACAATGAAATATCATTTTTTGGAACGTTCCCAGTCAACCTGACTTAACATGTTTTGAAATTAAGCCTGAAAATGTTAAGATGGTACCAAAACAGAGAATTATATAACATTATCTTGAAAATCATGTTGACCTTCCTATTTGTGTTGCATGACAATTAAACAGTGGAAGGTTGGCTGCAGTCTTGCAGCTGTTAGGTCTGGATTGCTGTGCATCATGAGCCTTTTCATGAGAACCTGACAAATCTCTCTCATTAATAACAAATGACAATCTAGCTAGTGTTACAATGCACATTACATTTAATCAATTTGCTATTTGTATTCCTTATGTATATCTTCCATTTTGAGTCATGAAAAGTAATTACAACATGGAAGAACATCATAGATAACAGATGGGATAAGAAGAGTAAAAGTACTACTAATTGGTCAGTTGTGCTTGTCAGTAAAGTGAATAAGGCAGAGAACAAGATAAGACAAATCTATGCCTTCAAAGTAGAACAGAGTCGGAGGATAATCACTGGTATGGTACCCCAGTTATGACCAAAGTTCAGTCACCTAAACATAGATGGTGTTAAAACAAGCTTTAGAACGCTTTCAACTACAACTATTCAAGAAGTGAGCATATCTTCACTGAGGGAAATGTATTAATGTAGTGCCTGACCACAGTGAACACCACAGTAGCCTCCACCTCCAGGGGCTCCTAACTCCTTGCTTTTGCATTTCAGCAGTCTCAAAGAGGGTAAAGAAGTTAGCCACTCAGATGGCAATTTCTGTACTAAAAAAGGAAGAACAAGTTAATTGTTTTTAAGAGAATCAAGAGAATATTAAAATTTTGACAAATTTTGAGGAGTTTCATTTACATTTTCTTGTGAACCAGAGCTAATAAGTACTAATTTAAAAAATAAAAATGGAAGAAACTATGTTTCTCTACGAGATAGAAGCTAATGCCTTTTTGCATTTTGGAAAAAACACTGAAAAGCAGAACAGCCAAACTATCTTCATTTAATGAACAGATTCAGAGTATTTTACAGAGTACTTCTACTTGTTAGTTTATAAGCATTTTATTAAATTTGTTTAGTCCATGTTACCTTGTATATTCAGATGTGTAAACCAGAATTTCCAAGTTACAGTATTTCAGCCTTCTCAAGCTGCAGATGAACGAGGTTTTGTGTATCCACTAGCACAGCCGGTATGTACAGGCCTTGCTCCTGCAGCTGCCACTTAGAGGAGGAAGACTCCTGAGGGCTGCCCTTAGCCCAGGAAGGCCAGTCCACTCCCAGTCCCTGACCAGGGACTGCTCCAGTGGCTCTAGTGTCAGCGAACAGTGGGCAATCAGAATACCTACATTTGAGCTCCTCTTCCAAACTGTCTACTAGAGAAGCCTACCTTTCTGCTTGGAAACCTAAGCAGACTCAACTTCTAAGGCTAAGTAGCTTCTGTGAATACCTTTCTCGCAGAATAGTCACTTTGTGACTTTCAGCCTCTTGATAGCCTGCTCCAAAGTCCACTAGAGTCAAAAGCTGAAAAGATGGCTTTTACCTAGGACAGAGAGAGAGCACCATAAAAAAAAAATAGGGCCTGAAGTTCAATATGTGCTCAAGTCAATGTGCCAGGAATAGGGATGTTAGCAATCAAAGAGGAAATACAGGAAATAGGAAGAAAAGAAGGATACCTTGAGGACTACAGAGGAAAAAGTTAATCTTCCCAAAGGCTAAGTGAAGCAGAGAACCCAAAGGTACATGGTTGCTTATCGTTTGCTGGTATACATAATAACAAAAGAACAAAGGTCCAGATTCAAAAATAAATGAATATGCCTAATTTAATCTTG